AATCCCAAAAGCCAAAATTCCAAAAACAGATGCTTGAGCTGCTAAGCAGAAATCTCATGCCTTTGTCTTTATGTTGTTTTAAGGTTTATTTTGGATCCACCACCATAGATTATGGTTTTAACTCAACATAAACCTTGTCTGGCTACTTATTTTTGCAAACATTAGAAACACGGTCAAGTTTTTCATTCAGGTCCTCCAGAATATCCTTGGACTTCAACTTACGAATTAGTCCAAGTTCTCATATTGACATTTTGACAGTGATTCTAGGCTTTGTGGTGTTGTTCAGTGTTTTGTATTACAAATTTAGGCCACAGAAAAGAAATGAAGTGAATCCATGCCTCTATTTGTTTACAAAGAGATCTTTCTTTTCACCTTTCAAATTCTATTACTATAACGTTAAAAACAACAGGAATCTCCCTCTGGCCAGGTGGTTAGGATTTGAAATGTCTTTGTATTCTGCTTTAAATTTGGAGTTCACATAAATTTGGTGACATTTCCTACTGTGGCTAAGTTAAATCTCTTAGTAGAATATTTCTTTTTTTTTTTTTTTTGGCAGTTTTTGACTTGTTTTGTTTTATTTTATTTTATTTTATTTATTTATTATTATTATTATACTTTAAGTTCTAGGGTACATGTGCATAACGTGCAGGTTTGTTACGTATGTACACTTGTGCCATGTTGGTGTGCTGCACCCATCAACTCGTCAGCACCCATCAACTCGTCATTTACATCAGGTATAACTCCCAATGCAATCCCTCCCCCTCGCTCCTCCCCATGATAGGCCCCGGTGTGTGATGTTCCCCTTCCCGAGTCCAAGTGATCTCATTGTTCAGTTCCCACCTATGAGTGAGAACATGCGGTGTTTGGTTTTCTGTTCTTGTGATAGTTTGCTAAGAATGATGGTTTCCAGCTGCATCCATGTCCCTACAAAGGACACAAACTCATCCTTTTTGATGGCTGCATAGTATTCCATGGTGTATATGTGCCACATTTTCTTAATCCAGTCTGTCACTGATGGACATTTGGGTTGATTCCAAGGCTTTGCTATTGTGAATAGTGCTGCAATAAACATACGTGTACATGTGTCTTTATAGCAGCATGATTTATAATCCTTTGGGTATATCCCCAGTAATGGGATGGCTGGGTCATATGGTACATCTAGTTCTAGATCCTTGAGGAATCGCCATACTGTTTTCCATAATGGTTGAACTAGTTTACAATCCCACCAACAGTGTAAAAGTGTTCCTATTTCTTCACATCCTCTCCAGCACCTGTTGTTCCCTGACTTTGTAATGATTGCCATTCTAACTGGTGTGAGATGGTATCTCATTGTGGTTTTGATTTGCATTTCTCTGATGGCCAGTGATGACGAGCATTTTTTCATGTGTCTGTTGGCTGTATGAATGTCTTCTTTTGAGAAATGTCTGTTCATATCCTTTGCCCACTTTTTGATGGGGTTGTTTGTTTTTTTCTTGTAAATTTGTTTGAGTTCTTTGTAGGTTCTGGATATTAGCCCTTTGTCAGATGAGTAGATTGCAAAAATTTTCTCCCATTCTGTAGGTTGCCTGTTCACTCTGATGGTAGTTTCTTTTGCTGTGCAGAAGCTCTTTAGTTTAATTAGATCCCATTTGTCAATTTTGGCTTTTGCTGCCATTGCATACAGAGGCAGATAAAACCACAAAGATGGGGAAAAAGCAGGGCAGAAAAGCTGGAAATTCCAAAAATAAGAGCGCATCTCCCCCGGCAAAGGAGCGCAGCTCATCGCCAGCAACGGATCAAAGCTGGACGGAGAATGACTTTGACGAGATGAGAGAAGAAGGCTTCAGTCCATCAAACTTCTCAGAGCTAAAGGAGGAATTACGTACCCAGCGCAAAGAAACTAAAAATCTTGAAAAAAAAGTGGAAGAATTGATAGCTAGAGTAATTAATGCAGAGAAGGTCATAAACGAAATGAAAGAGATGAAAACCATGACACGAGAAATACGTGACAAATGCACAAGCTTCAGTAACCAACTCGATCAACTGGAAGAAAGAGTATCAGCGATTGAGGATCAAATGAATGAAATGAAGCGAGAAGAGAAACCAAAAGAAAAAAGAAGAAAAAGAAATGAACAAAGCCTGCAAGAAGTACGGGATTATGTAAAAAAACGAAATCTACATCTGATTGGGGTGCCTGAAAGTGAGGCGGAAAATGGAACCAAGTTGGAAAACACTTCAGGATATCATCCAGGAGAACTTCCCCAACCTAGTAGGGCAGGCCAACATTCAAATTCAGGAAATACAGAGAACGCCACAAAGATACTCCTCGAGAAGAGCAACTCCAAGACACATAATTGCCAGATTCACCAAAGTCGAAATGAAGGAAAAAATCTTAAGGGCAGCCAGAGAGAAAGGTTGGGTTACCCACAAAGGGAAGCCCATCAGACTAACAGCAGATCTCTCGGCAGAAACTCTACAACTTAGTAGAATATTTCACAAGCATGCAAGAGTAAGAGCAAGATTTGTTCATCCCAATCAAAACCAACGTGAGACCCTTGTTCCCAGGGCAAACTCTCTTTGTCCACAGTTTGCACTTTCTCCTTCTCCTGTTTTTGCGCCACCTCTTAAAAACCTTTGACTGATAACATGCTTCGCTGGTTAAAGCGCACCTGATATTCTAGTAACTCCTGAAACACTAAGTGGCTACCTTGTAACATTGCTACATTAGGCCTTCCTGTATAGAAGTTTATCAAGGTTCTTCTTGCTGATACCCCCTTTTCCTTCAAGGCTCTTCCTCATCAGCCCACTCTTCAGTAGTGGACTTCCCAATGCTCCAGCACTGAGGTCTCCTCTCACACTGTGTGCTCCTTGGGATTTCATCCACTACAGCGACAACTCCCAGCGACGATTCCCATCTCTTACCTCCAGCCTTATGCCCTTTTCCCAGCATTGCTCACCCTGTCATCTATTTATTGAACATGTGGACAATCCAGGGACATCTCAAACACTGCAAATGCAAAACCAAACTCATTATCTTCCCACCACCACTGCCGTATTCACTCAGACTTTTTTCTCCTTCTACAGCTTCCCAGCTGACATCATTAACATGACAACTATTGGCCCATTTTCCCAAGCTGGAAACATTGAATTTTTTTCCTGGGCCTTTTTCTGCCTTTCCACTAATGATAAATAGATCCCTAAATCACATAAATTCTGCCAAAGAAATTTGCCTTTGGTATTCTTCTGTCTGCACTGCCACTTTTTTAAAGAGTATAAATTATCTTGCACTTTTGTGTTTTATGCTGAGATTTGAGAATAAATAGGGAGTGTGTGTACATATCCAGCTCATCATCTTAACCCACTCCTCCTAATTTTATCTTAGGAATGACGCCTGCGGCAGTGTAGAGCAATAGAAATATAACCCAAGCCATGTATACAATTTTAAATTTTCCAGTAGCAACATTATAGAAATAGAAAGAAATGAAATTAACTTTAACGCTATGTTTCAGCCAATGCATCCAAAATATTAAAATTTCAAACTTTAATTGGTATTAACACTATTATTAAGGTCTTTACATTCCTTTTCTTTGTACAAAGTCTTCGAAATCAAGGGCTCATTGGTCACATGTGGCCAGTGGCTGTCACAGCAGATAGCCTAGGTTTTGGAGGTGAGCCGAAGGGGCTTACACTAGAGATCCCATAGAAGATACACCTACAGCCTTGGTGAGGGACAAGGGCATATATCAAGGTACTTGCAATGGAAACAAAGAATCAGTCCATAATCACACTGAAAATATGAAGCAGAGAACCATAAGGCAAATGTAATCCAATTAAGTATAAAATTGCATTTAAAAATAAAAAAAGAAAACACAGCCCAAAGTACGCAGAAGAGAATGGACCGTCAAAGGTTAAGAATAACAACAAACCACAGCCTGGGAGAGAAGCTCCGAGGCAAACTGGACAGGAAAGGGACCTGGGACAAGTGTGTCAGTAATTAGGAGGTGGTCTTGGAAGAGCAGGGTAGCCTCGGCACCTCATCCTCATGCACATTTGAGTCCGGGGAGCTGCACACTTTCCTTCAGGCTCACAAGGCCCAGGAGCTGTGCTCTCAACAAAGGAAAAGCTCTTCTGCTGGTTTATATTTATGAGAAGCAGAGAAGAACTCTGGGGGCGAGGAGGGCAATGAAATGGAGCCTTTGAAGCTGGAACTGGCCCAGCTTCCGGTGAAGCCTCTGAGTGGGTGTTCTGAAGTGAGGACTGTAACAAGAGAGGCCAAGAAAGCTACGCTCCAGTTAAGGAAAAATCCCCTCTGGCACCCCCAAAACAAAGCAGTCTCCCCCATCCTGCTCTCCCCACAATTATAGAAAGCAGACAGAAGAGATCAAGATGCACATGAATCGAAAACAGCATTTCTCATTTGGATTGAGGAAATTTTCAGTCTTCAGTCAGTCCTTCAACGTGAGTATGAATAGATAACTGAGAATCACCAAACTTTGAGAGAACACCAGCACCTACAAGAATCATCAAATCAACAAACTGAAGAACTAACTCACCCCAAGGAGATCTTGTCAACAGAAAAAAAAGCAAAGACAATTTTCAGATAAGCATAACAACCAAAAAATATAATCCCTTTGTCCTCAAATATTCAATAAAATATGACTAAGCCACTCTTTTAAAAATTCCTGGGAGATACACGCTGTCAGTCCAAAGCAAAATGCATACAACTAAAGAATAAATGTCCTGGAAGGATTCCCAAAAATATCATGAAAACAAGCAAAGGGATTGAAAGAATGGGAAGAGTGAGGTAGGAATGATGGATAGAGCCAAACCTCAAATGTCTATCAAATAGGAATTTCAGAAGAAAAGAACAAAAAACCAAAGAGGGAAAATCCTGACCAAATTAAAAGAAAATTTCCCTGAAATACACAGTTTGGTATCTGTTCAGAATATTTACATATAAATAAATATATGAATATATAAAGGTTCCAGGCTGCAGGGAGAAGTGAACACAGATTACTTACAAGGGAATGAGGAGCAGGTAGGACGAGACGTTTCATCGCGATTCATTCTACACGCCACCAGTCATTGGATCAATTCTCCCAAGTGCTCAGGGAAAATGAATACTAGTTTGTTACCAGTACCAGTTCAAACTCAAATTTAATGTGAAAAAACGATGAGTGATTGGGCAAAGTTTACCCGATGACGTCCTTTCTGAAAGAATAACTAGGGAATTTATTTCAGCAAATGAATCCAAAAAAGAAGGACTGCAGATATTATAAGTGGTAGCAAACAAAAATTCTCACCACTAAGATGTAACTGCCTGATTGTGCATCCTGTATGTTTTTTAATCTCAAACAAAAGTTCCCAGATATTTTTGAGAATCAATATCCTAAGGTAATATCTTGTACTATCTTGTACCAAGGAAGGATCAAAGTGTTGCCCATGACCTGTTAATACACGACAAAGGGATCCTTTACTGTATGTGACTCTGAGTCAAAGAATCTGGTCCATCGCGTTGGCATCCTGCATCCAGTTCTCTCTGAAACCTGAGCAGTCCAAGCCACTGCCCTGTGCCCTGTGTCAGAAGACCCCACTGTGGCTTTCCTCTGTCCATGCCCCTCGCAGCAGCATGATGAGTGTGCAGACCCCCTAGTCCATGCTTCCCCTTGCCCCACTTGTGGGACATGCTCCAGGTACCTAGGATGGTAGAATTACCAGTCAGATGTCCCTGAGCCCCCTTCCAAGGCCTGCAAAGCTGTTCTCCAGGTCTGCCCTCCCATTGCTGACCAGACATCAGTGTGTGCTCTCCTTGGATGAAGGATGGCCAAGAAGTGAGGTTTTGCTGGGAGGAGGGACTGATGGACAAAACCTGGACACACTCTCAGGTGCCCTTGTGTATGCTACTTATAGTATGGTGTGGATCCAGGTGTGGGAAGAGAAATGGGTGAGGCAGAAGGCCAGGAGCCTTCATTTGTATTCCTGCGCTAAGTCCTGAAAATGTCAGGGACTGGCCTGCTCTCGTCTTTGACAGAGGAAGAAAGACAGGGAGGAAGGAGAGAATTCAATACAGAAAGAAATGGGATTGAAAAAAGGCTTCAGAAAAAAGCCAACCGGGCATAGCAATTGGAGGAGGAAAAGGTGGGAGCTTTTGAAGTGTTGGAGGTTTCCTGCAGTAAGTACCAGAAAACCCAGCTCCAAATGGTCCAAAGGAGGTGTGTACTCCCTGTCACTCGTACTGCAGGAGAGAGGCCTCCTTCCTTGCTCAGTGAACTCCTCACGGCTCTGGAGCCCTTCCGTCTTCCCTCTCTGTGTCTGAGGTTAGTGCGCAGCTTGGCCTCTGCGACCTGTTCCCCCAGCGGCCCAGGACAACCCATAGTTCTGGGTGATGCCCCCAGGCCACAGTGTCCAGAAGCAGGAAGAGAACAAGCCTGCCTCGTGTCCCTTTTCCAGAGAAAGAAAAGCTCCTGGACTCCCCCTAACCCCAGGTCTCATTTGTCAGAACCAGTCACTGTCCAGAAGTAGTTCGTTTCCCATGTGCCAGGATTCACTAATACAAGGTCAGCCGTGACACCATGAGGGCCAGTCAACCCCAAGGCCCAGGCCACCTGGACACTGCACAGAATCAGGGTCCCCACAGCTGCAAGAGGGAGCCTGGCTGGGGAGCAGGCACCTGCAGGGAGCAAGGCTAGCGGCGCCGAGGACTGAACTTCACAGTGGTTCTCAAAGTGTGGTCCCCAGACTAGCAGCTTCGTCTTCACCTGGGAACTCACTGGGAATGCAGATTCTTCGCCTTCACCCAGATGTCTAGAATCAGAAACTCTGGAGGCGGGGCACTGCAATTTAGGTTTCAAGTTTTTGTTTCTTTATTTTATTATTTTTTTAGAGATGGGGGTCTCCGCTCTGTCACCCAGGCTGGAGTGCAGTGGCACAATCATAGGTCACTGCAGCCTCGAACTTTCAGGCTGGAGTGCAGTGGCACAATCATAGGTCACTGCAGCCTCGAACTCCCGGGCTCCCCCCACCAACCCCCTCTTCCCCAACCCCCAGTAGCGGGGACTATAGGTACAGGCCACCATGCCTGGCTAAAGCAATTTAAGTTGTAAGAAGCCCTCCAGGGGAAGCACTCTATAAAGTACAGGAACCATTGGCTTCCCCAACCTCCTCCTCTTAGGGGTCAGAGTACAATGAATCAGCAAAGGAGACACAAGAACAGACCCAGCGGGGGTAAGAAAAGGCACCTAAGGCAGGGAAGCAGCGAGGCGTCAGCAACAGCAAATGCGATGAAAAAGTCGTGCGTTTTATTTAAAGAGCTGATCAGGGATAGGAAATTGAGAAATGAAACATAAAGTGGTTACAATTCAAGCAAAGAGTTTTCAGGGGAGTGCTGTGCATGTTTCAAGTCAGAGAAAAAGAATCCAGTAGAGAGTTAAAGATACTGGAGATAAAGTAATACTCAGGGGAGGGTTTTCCTGAGGTCTGTGAAGGGAGAGATGCTAGACCTCACTTTCCAATGTATTAATATTAACTACTGGTCATGTCCAGCTATTCAGCTCTTGAAAAGAAGCTTATCTGAATTGAAATGTGCTGTAAGTGTAAAAGGCACACTTCATTCCAAGCCTTAGTGTAAAAAGAGAGGGTGTAAAATAACCCATTAATAATTGTATATTGATTACATGTTGAAATGATAATACATTTAGATGTATTGGGTTACATAAAATATATTATTAACGTTAATTTCACTGCTTTTTTTCTTTTTTCTTTCTTCAGTGTAACTAGTGGAAATTTTTCAATTATGCTTGTGACTCCCATTTTTCTTTTTTTTTTTTTTTGAGACAGAGTCTCACTCTCTCACCCAGACTGGAGTGTAGTGGTACAAATCTCAGCTCCCTGCAACCTCCATCTCCTGGGTTCAAGCGATTCTCCTGCCTCAGCCTCCCAAGTAGCTGGGATTATAGGCACGTGACACCATGTCCGGCTAATTTTTGTATTTTTAGTGGAGATGTGGTTTCCTCATGTTGGTCAGGCTGGTCTCGAACTCCTGACCTCAAGAAATCTGCCCAACTCGGCCTTCCAAAGTGCTGGGATTACAGACATGTGCCACCACGCCCGGCCCCAGTTGTGTTTCTGATTAAGAGCTCTGGTCTAGACCACAAGAAATTCTAATAGGTTTGGAGAAAAACTGTGTGAAAGAGAGTGTAGACGTTTTAGGTAAACAAAAGGACCTAAAGACAAGGTCAGGTACAACTGTTTAAAGATTCCTCTCACTGAAATGGAGTCTTAAAATGTTGAGCAGAAATATTTCTGCCTCTTTCAAAAAAAATGCTGAGGCAATTATAAGGATGTAGAAGTTAGCCTACTGGCTACTAATTTAATAGTGACAAGAGGAGTTGTGTTCATTGAATGAGAATATAATGTGGTGCTGAAATTTCATCTGTGCTTGAAAGAAATCTTTCAACTAGGTTGGACACAGACTTTTGGTAGGTAGAAGAAGAAAAGTGACCCAACATCACACTTTGCTTTTTTGGTTTCATGCTTGAAAGGGGAAGGTTTAAGGTCTAAGAATAAGATAACTAGAAGCCTTCCTTGAGATATTACAGGCAGTCCACTTCAGAAATGCATCAAATGTCAAAGCACAGGACTTGCTTGGGAAAAATCTGACACCACAGACTAAAGTCAAACGGGAGAACGGTGCTCACTTGGGGCTTTACCCGGTGGCTACTCATCAGCTCCTGAGAACTTGTCAGTGAGAAATTCCTCCCAATGCCTGGAGGCAGTCCAGGTGAGAGGAATAATGCTGCAACAAGCATCCTGTTTATAACTCCAGATTCTCAAATACCAGAAAACTTGCCACAAAGCCTTTTTTTTTTTGTAAAGATACTGGAGATAAAGTAATACTCAGGGGAGGATTTTCCTGAGGTCTGTGAAGGGAGAGATGCTAGACCTCACTTTCCAATGTATTAACTACTGGTCCTGTGCAGCTCTTGAGCTCTTGAAAAGAAGCTTGTCTGAATTGAAATGTGCTGTGAAGTGTAAAAGGCACACTTCATTCCAAGCCTTAGTGTAAAAAGAGAGGGTGTAAAATAACCGATTAATAATTAAACTCTCTAAGGCCTTCTGTTTCTCAAATTGTGAACTGTCTTCATTGCCTTTAATGAATCTTCATTCGTTTTCTTGGCCAATCTTGAGTATTTGACTTAGCCAGAAGACTTCTTGTTCATACAGCCCTCCTTTTTTTTTTTTTTTTGCTTCTCCTAGTTTGCTATCTCTCTTCACAATAGTATTGAAGTCCCAGCTATCATATGAGACTGTCCCCAAAGTCCTGCTTCTTCTACCTCCTTATCATGTATACATAACCGCTGCTTCCTTATTATAGTTGTTGTTTTTAAAAGTATGGACTAAGGCCGAGTGCACTGGCTCACACCTGTAATCCCAGCACTTTGGGATTACAGGCATACATAACCCCTGCTTCCTTATTGTAGTTGTTGATTTTAAAAGTATGGAATAAGGCCCAGAGGGATGGCTTATGCCTGTAATCCTAGCACTTTGAGAGGCCGAGGCAGGCAGATCATCTGAGGTCAGGAGTTTGAGACCAGCCTGGCCAACATAGTGAAACCCTGTCTCTACAAAAAATACAAAAAGTAGCTGGGCATGGTAGTGGGCACCTGCAATCCCAGCTATTCAGGAGGCTGAGGAACGAGAATGCTTGAACCTGGGAGGCGGAGGTTGCAGTGAACCGAGATTGCGCCATTACACTCCAGCCTGGGCGACAAGAGTGAAACTCCATCTCAAAAAAAAAAAAAAGTATGGAATAGGGAAGAATGTAAAAATGACTCCACTGAACAAGGTACCTTTATCAAATACACGCTTTAGGATTCCCATACTGGGCTCCACATAATTTAATATGCAGGAGAGATGAATGACTAAGATAGAAATTCCTTTAATTTCTATGAACTATGAATTTGAGTGAGTTGCTACAATGACAATAGCTTTTAATCATCAATGGTTTTAAATTATTTAGTAAGTGATGTCTAAAATAATCTTGAAGCAGAAAATGTAAGTTTTTTTCAAGATTAATTTATAGTAAATAGAAAGGAATTAGCAGTGTGGATATTAACAAATGTCTAAAGATTTTAAAAATATCTAAGATACATGTAAAATCTACCTGGTTAATCAGTCAATTAGAATGTGTCATCCCTGAATGTAAGTGTATTAATTTCCTAGTGCTGCTATAACAAATTACCACAAGCTTAGTGGCTTAAAACAACACAAGTATGTTATTCCACAATTCCAGAGGTCAGAAACTCAAAACAGGTTTCACTGGACTGTCAGTTAAGGTGTCTGCAGGGCTGTGTTGCTTTAGAGGTTCTAGGGGAAGATCTTTTCCCTTGCCTTTTCCCTTGCAGGCTTCCAGGGGCCAGCAGCATTCCTTGGCTCCTGGCTCCTTCCTCCATCTCCAAACTCAGCAGTAAAGCATCTTCAAAGCAGTCTCTGGCTCTGACTCTCCTGTTCTCTTTCTCTTAAAAGAACTGTAATAATTTCATTGCCTCCAGGATAATCTCCACATTTCGAGATTAACTTAATCCCCTCAGAAAAGTCCCTGTTGCCGTGTAAAGT